CTCATTTGTCAATTGATGTCTCTGGTTCCCTGTTTACAATCTTGTAGGCTTATTTACTTTGGATACTTCCATAGCTGGGTTGGTTTCTGGGTTATATCATCATGTGTGTTAACTCAGTTATTGTTGGCTGTTGTTGCTTCTCTGTCCAAAGGACTCCCTTTAGCATCTGTGTAAGGTTTGTCTGGCTTTAACAAATTCCCTTAGTTTCTGCTAATCTGGAAATGTCCTAATTTCACCATCATATATGAGGGACAATTTTGCTGGGTATATAATTCTTGGTTGAAAATTTTTCTCCTTCAGTGTTTTATATATACCATCCCATTGTCTTCTCACCTGCATAGTTTCTGTCGAGAAACCCTAGCTTAGTCTTATTGGTTTCCCTTTATAGGTAACTTTTTGTTTCTCCAGTGCTGCTCTCATGATTCTTTCTTTGTCTTTGGTTTTGGTAAGTTTGATGATATTATGTCTTGGTGATTTTCTTTTGGGGTCTATCCTGTTTGGGATTTGTTGACTTCCTGAATGGATATATTCTCATCTTTCATCATACCAGGAAAATTCTCTTCCAACAAATCAGCAGTTTTCTCTGTGGTTTTATTTTTTTCTTCCTGTTCTGGAATTCCAATTACACATAGGTTATGCCTTCTGATGGTATCCCACATCAACCTTAGGCTTTCTTCATTTTGTTTTCATCTTTTTTTCTGATTTATCCCTTTCCAAAGAAGTATTCAGGTATTTGTCTTCAGTCTCCCTAATTCTCTCTTCCACTGATTCTGCTCCTTTGCCCATTCAATGTCTTAAATCTAGTTCTGAAAATTTAATATTAATCTTCTGGATTTCTGTGTGTAGATTTTGTATCATTTCTAATTTTCATTTATTTTATCATTTTGTTCTTGTATTGTCTTTTGAAATTGTTCTAGGGTTTTCTCTGTGTTTTCCTTGTTCTGTTTCTCAATTCATTGAAGATACCTAAATATAATTCTTTTGAATTCCTTATCAGGGAGTTCCAATGCTGTGTCTTCCTCAGGGATGTGTTTGGGTCTGCATCCTGGTCCCTTGGTTCTCCTGCTTTATCTTGTTTCTTTGTGTGCACTGTGAAGCTATGTTGTCTCTGAGGCATTATGATGTTTTTGTGTTTATATTTAATTGGAGATTGTATGTTGGAGTGACTTGCCCACAATTTTCATTTTCTTTGTTTTGTTTGTATGTTATCTACTCAAGCAGGGTACTGTGCTCTTCTATTTGCTAGTTGACAGCACTTTATACAATCTCCACCTGTCTCCGTTCCTATTGTTAGCCTCTTGTATGTCCCTGCTGAGCTTGGCAAACAGAGCCTTTTCTTAGGTCCCTGGAATCTGAGAATGCTATCACTTAAAAATCCAAACTGGCTGCTGCTTATAAACATTCAAAATGGCTGCACCCTCATTCACTTTAAATATCCAAAATGGCCACTGCTTGTAAACATTCAAAGTGGCTGTGCCTTCCAGACAGCAGAAAGTCAACAGCTCAGGTTGTCTCCTCCTTGCTGTTTCCCTTCCTAGTCATAGGCCACCAGCGCAGTCATCCCTGCAGCCCTTGGTGACCCATGTTGATCTTTAGATCAATTCTCAGGTCCCAACACCACTTGGAAATATTCAGGCTTTTGTTCCCACCAGAGTAGCTGACAGTCTGCATCTCCAACCATCTCTATACTCATTGTTTTCGTTAGGTTTTTCCACTAGCTGGTGCCTAATCCACTTCTGCATAGTTCCTTTCAAAACTCAGGACTCCAGGATTATCTTCTGTATCTCTGTCAATTGGTTTTTCTTTTCTTTGTTGAAGAGGGTCTGTGTTGCTTGTCTGCCTATTCCTCCACCTTACTGGAAGTGAACATAATTATTTTTGATTCCTTCTTTTTGCCATTCAACAAATATTTATTGTATACATACTGGGTACTAGCATGTGGAATACAGCTGAGCACACACCCAACCCTAATAGGGTTCACAGGCTAGTTTAAGAAAGAGACAATTATAGTACATTGTGATAAGTGTTAAAGTAGAGTTAATTTCAGGTTGCTTTGGGAGTACACAATAACAACTTTTAAATCATTCTGACAGATGGTGATAGATTTTAGAAGGAGATGTTTAGGCCAGTAATGGGTGTGATGAAATTTAAAGCACATATTGTGTGATACATAATTTTGAGGTAAAAATGAATGGCTCTACTTGAGGGAGTTGTTGTTGTTGTTGTTATGTGCCGTCGAGTCGGCCCCGACTCATAGCGACCCCTCCTTGGGTTTCCGAGGCAGTATCACTACGGAAGTAGGATTGCCCAACCTTCCTTCCGAGGAGTGGCTGGTAGGTTTGAACCGCCAGCCGTCTGGTTAGCAGGCAAGTGTCTTAAATAATACTTTATGTACAGGTATCATTTGTTCTGAGGGAAGATCATTACTAAGGAAGACCTTGGGCATTGATGGTGGTATGTTTCAGAGGTTATAGTGTACATGAGCAAGAGAGAATGTAGGGGATTGTGAGGGAGAGAGAGAAAAGGGGAAAAGGAAGAGTGGGGAGGAAACAGATTGGGAGAAGAGTCTAAGAAAACGTTCTGAAGAGTGATTATAGTAATTCTTAGTAAATTAGAGTTTGGAATTATCCTTGAAAAATTTTAAATGGGTAAAATAAAAGTCAGATATGCACTTAATAAATGTCAAACCTGCTTTCTTAAGGTAGATTAAATAAAACAAAACTTACATTTCCTAGTGTACCTTGTGACTAGTGTGAATCCATGTGACCCTAGGTTCTGCCAATCAGATATACTCATTTGAGACTTTGATTTTGAAAATAAGCATTTGAACAAGGTAAACCCATTGCCATTTAGTTGATTCCAAATCAAGTAACCCTATAAGACAGAGTAGAACTGCCCCATAGGATTTCTAAAGGCTATAATCTTTATAGAAGCAGATTGCCACATTTTTCTCCTGTGGAGTGGCTGGTAAGTTCAAACCGCTGACCTTTCAGTTAGCACTCAAGTACTTCACCACTGCTCCACCAGGGCTCTTGTGAATAAGAGAAGACAGTGGATATTCTTGTTGTTGGCATATGT